TCTAATGGTGATTTGGGATAGTATCTTTTATTTATTTTATATTCTGCCATTCTTTGTCTAGCATCAAACTAAACACAGAGAAGGTAACCAATAAATACTTGTTAAATGTAATTGAATTTCAAGAAACATTTATGTGAAATAAAACGAGATCGTGAAAGGTGAATAAGTTCAAGGCAAATCTGTATTTTGGCAGTTGTGCTGTTCTTACGTCATATGTCTTGACTGATGAAATGGGAATACAAAGAAAAGAATTAACTACCTCACCTTTACTAAAACTGGGAAAACGTCCTCCAGAAAGGGAAACAATAATAATAGTTGTATAGTGCCTTAGAGCTTACGAAGTGTACTCACATTCATCATTTAGGATTTCAGAAGCTCTCTGAAGAGAAAATCTTCAGGAGATGGAAATAAAAAAAAAATTTGAAACTTGTCAAAAGGCACTATTAAAATCAGAAATTGGAAAATTAGGCATAGAAACTACATAAGGCTAACAAGGGAAAGCAAAAGTAAAGGAAAGAAGAAACAGAACGATAAAAAAATAGTGTGGGTCCACTGCAAGGCTTTAAAGCAGGTGGTAAAGTTGCTTTAATGCATAGCATGAAACCAAGACAACTTAGACTACCAAAGATAAAGAGTCCATGGTTAAAATAATGAAAAATGTCATTACAATAAGCATTAAGAAGGGACTTCAAGGGAATATGCACTGAAGGTGAAAAATGAATAGAATCTTCATGTATGCGTTCACTCGTCTCTTCATTGGGCGTCTCCATTTTCCCAGTGCCTTTAAGAGGGTGCTTAACCTACTGTGTACCCACAAATATTTGCTGAAGCTCTACTATGTGTCATACATAATGCTAGACATTGGGGATATACAATAATTAGATATAGTCCCTTCCTATAAAGAATTTGCATTCTAGTTGGAAAGGTAAAACAAACAAATATATAAGTGAAAAGTTAAAGAGCAAAACAAGGCCGAAGTGGCCAAAAGAACAGCTTAGAGAGTAAAAGCTAAAACAGTCCAGAGAAAGAAGAGATCGCTATGGAATGACCTGTTCAAGAAAGGCTTTGTGAAAATAAGGGGCATTTACAGTCCTTCAAGAACTGGGTGGAGTTGAGGGTAAGATTTGCACAGAGCCAAGAGAAAGGCATTCAAAGCAGAGATACACTGGCTGAACAAAGGTATGGGGTTGAGATAATGAAGGTGCTTTAAAGAGACAGTGAAAATCAAGTAGGGCTGTAATAAAAGGTATATGGCAACATTGGGTACAAAAGGAAAGCTGAGACTGAGAAGGGAAAGGCTTCGAATGCCATGTTCAGGAGTTTGAACATTTTCTGCATGCAATCCAAAAATCATCAAGGTTTTAGAGCAAAAGAGTGACATGATGAATTACGATATTTTAGAAATATCAAGCTGGCTTTTTATGCACATAATAAACGGTGTACATCTTGATTAAAGATATGGTTATGGCAGTAAAAAGACAGGCAAACAAAAAAAAGCACACTGATATATAACAAAGAGGGGTAACTGGAGCAAAATAGACTTAAGAACTAAAGATTAACCTGAGATTTCTTTGTTGGGAGCATGAAAAGCATAACATTAGATAGAACAGAGAGGAAGTTAGGCAAAGGGTAAGATTCCAAGGCATGAAGAACAATCCTATTTTTACTTCCTCCATCATCACCATGTTTCTATGAAATTCAAGTTGCCTAAGCATAGAGTAGAACAGGTAACTGTATTAAAGGAGTAACCAGAGAACCTCCAAAGCGATATATAACAGTGGCTTTAGAAAGTTAGAGAAAACGCAGTTGCACTAAAGTGCTTAAAAAGTATTTGGAAAATAGTCAATTATACCTCAATAAAAAAAAGTATTTGGAAAATAGAAACCACATGACTTCTTAATTGAACTATTAATTCAGGAGAAAGCAACAATAACAGAAAATCACATCAAGATAGCAATACGAATGAATTAACCGGAAAAGCATATTTTACCCAAGCTGGAACTATGAGTTCATTTTAACGTTAGTATATTACAAAACTAAAGATTAGTCTCTTCTCTCATTACCACATACATAAAAGAAAGCCACCCCATGTTCTCCACCTCCATTCCTTAAAGGCAATTCTCCTTACATTCTCTTAATCTTCTCAAACAATTCCCTAAATCTATCTTCTTTTTTCTGTATAAAGTCCTGTCTCACTGAATCTTATTCACTCCTTAGTCCCATTTTGAAATATTAAATATATGTTATAAATTTTCCAAAATTGCCTTTAATGAAAGTAAGAATCCTTAGCCTTCATACAGTGCTGTGCAACTGACAAAATATTTTACACACATTATCTCTTAGAACCCTCACAGAAGAAATGCACAGCAGGTATTATCATCATCCATATGTTATACAGAAGCAGCATGCCCAGGGCCACACATTCATAAGTGATAGAGCCAGGCTGCAATGCAGGCTTTCTAAGCTCAAATTCCCTATTCTCTTCACTATATCATTCAGTTTCATAATGTGCCAGTAGGTGTATCTTATTACTCAAAATGTATGTTGTTATTCTGTAGTATGTTTAAACCAACAGATCTTTTTTTTTTTTTTTTTTAATAAGGTGCTTATTACAGGTGCCTATTACAGGTCCATTTACTAAGAAGACCTAATTATTTTAAGATGCTCATGATGATGACAATTATCACTGGATGAAAAGTGACAACTGAAGCATAACTTTGCAAAACTGCTAAGACTATACCAGAAACATTTTTGCCTTGAATTCTGCAATGCAACAACAAAGACAATGTGGGTGATTTAAGGATATGCGAGCATCAAAGGGCAGAAATAGGGCATTCCTACTCTCTTTAACTCTGCTAAGGCCTCAAATACTGATATAGTTCAGAGCATCTTATTACCAGGGAGACATAAATCAAAAGGAGTTCAGCTAGGAGCAATAAAACAGATTAGTGTCTGGAAGGACTGACTTTAAAGAAAGTTTTAAAAGAATTAAATCCAGGTAGTCTAGATAAAAAACAGCTATGAAGAAACATTTTTTTGAAGCTGACACTCACACCAAAGATAGAAATTATTTTGAAGGTAGATGTCTAAAAAATGCAAAGAAGAATAATCACAAATATTTGGAGAATATTTATAAAGGGAAAATTCAGGATAAATTTGCTGGCAAAAATCTATGGCACAGAGAACTCTCTCCCACAGGAGTGGTGAAAATTACATTCCTAGAGATATTTAATACCAGGTTGGACAAAATAAGAAAAGGATTCCATATGGAATGATCCTGCACTGACCCCTGAAGTGGTGGAAGGATTGAAGATAGCCTCTTAGATCTTTTCCATTTCTGATTGTTTTTAATTCTATGAAGTTTTACGGGGCACGGCCTTTTGCCAATTTCCTTTCTCCCCATGATGCCCACTTTCTCCTTTTACAAAGGGAAACTAATTGTATCCTTCATTTTAAGTAGCTCTCATGTTCTCAATGAATCAGTAATATAATCCTAGGTATAAGTTTGGAAGAAAAAAGCCAATTCCAAAAAGTTATAATGGTCCTTTTTCCCCCAGTGGTTGCTGGGGCTCTTACAAGTTTTTCCACAAACTAAAGAGGAAGTAGTTCAAATAGATTCGAAGAAGAGCTGTTTCATCACGAAAACCATTAATATTCTCCCTTCTTGTGTCTGATCACAAAGCTGACAGTGACCCTGGGAGCCATAAGGCCCTGGGTCAAATTACCATCAGAGCTGCTGTTCAGGATTATCTTTTACCTTTCAGCATTTTATGCTGAGTGACAGCAAAATCTACTTGCAATGTACGTTTTTAGGGCAATGGCATTTACCTTTGAAAAGACGTAGCCTTAAACACCTACATACTTTGGCAAATGTTATAAAAGGGTAACTCCTATTCATGCTTCAAACTCAAGAAGCCTCAGCCTTGCTCTCTTTCTCCATTCTGGCACTTTAAAAACATGTTTCTCAGATACCCTTGAAATAGATCCCAATACCTCTCCAGAATTCCCATTCAGTGAAAGCCCCAGAAAATACAACGGCATTTCCTTGTTTTGCAGATTTATAAGGACAAGATGTAAGAAAATCCAGGGAGCTCTAAGAACCTGTCCCTGAGTCCTTTAAAAATAAAACTGTAGCTCACTTATGAAAAGGGACAGCAAGGCAGAGATAGTCCTCCAAGAATGGACACTAACGCCTCTTCTACCCAATCTAAACAGCCTCAGTGGCTGAGGACCTATCAAGTCCCATTTTGCATATTTGAAACAAAGTATGTCCCTCTACCCACATAGTTCATAGATAGTAACATCAAACCCACTAAACAAATATTTTAAAATACCATTTTCATTTTTTTTCTAGTTAAAATGACACTGTTCAAAACTAAAAAGATTGGCCTCTCACACTGGAATGGGATTTGGAGTTTTCAAAGTCCTTCCAACACTTAACTCATCTGATCTTGGCAAGACAGAAGGCTGGCATTTATAATAAGCCTATTTTAAAACAGAAAAAATTTTACTCTGAGATTGGGCAATCTGAAGGAGAACTCACTGCGGAGATTTTCAAACCTTCCCCAACAAGAGACCAATCTAAAAGGGATTATTCCAGAAAACTTGCGAGAGAGTTTCAAAAAGGCTGAATCCTTCCACATCCTCAACTCAGGAAAGCAAGAACTAAGAAAAACAAAAAGGCACTTTTTTCTAGAATTTTAGGAATGAATTGTGACCCTGACCCTTTAGTAGCCTATGAACCTGGCTGAATTTTCTCAAGAAACCCACTGCATCTTCTCCCCCACAGGACTAGCCTGCCAGAAGTTTTCGTTACCAGTTCGCGGCCTGGGAGACTCGGCTGCCCAGCGAAAGGCCCGCAGCAGGGACAAGGACAACCCGGCGAGCCCCCTTTGCGTAATCACGTCAGGAGTCCCACTCTCCTGTGTCTCCTTGCCCGCAGCTACCAGCTTTTCCCCAAACTTCCCCCACCCCGCAAGAATGGGAAGCAAGTTTCTCACCATCCTCATAGTTTTTCAGATAGTAATCCGGGCCGGGACCCCCGCGGCTTTTCGCTGGGTTCCTCAGGTTCTGAAACTGCAGAAAATCGGTCCTTTTGCCCCCGAAGCGCAGAAAGGCGGGCGCAAGTCCCCGGGCCAGAGTCACCAGACGCTTGGAGCTGCAGGGGTAGAGAAAGAGAGAGGAAAGGATCCGGGGGGGAAGGAGAGAGGGGGCGAGGCACCGAGCAAGGCCCTCTTCCCACTCTCTGCGAGCACCTTGCCGAGGCTAGGGGGCTCTGTGTCCGCCCCAGCCCAACGCCCGCGCGGGCCTCTGGCCGCTCCGCGGCGTCTCGCGTGCGCCCGGCGCCCCAGCCCGCCCTGCCCTCAGCCGCCTGGCTTGCGGGGGCTACGCCTTCTGCGCCCAGCCGGCCGCGGCCCCCTCCCTCAGAAGCCCAGACGCTGCTCGCCAAAGGTACTTCTTTTCAAAGGGTTAGATTGTGTTTATTAACAGAGTGTGCGTATGGGGTGAGGAGGACACTTCTGCTGAGAACACGAGGCTACGGCGCAGTTGGCCGGCTTCTGCCACTGCCGGGAAAGCGCTCCTGGCAGAGACGCGCAGCGCACGGACCTGGGGCCTCAGACTTTTGCCAAACTTCTAGGCTGAAGGCCGGGATCTGCCTCCTCGCCCCAGGGACACCGCAACCTCAGTGGAGAAGGTGAAACCTGCCTTCTTTCTCTCAGACCAGGCACTTGAGCTCAAGTTGATTCTGACTTTTTTTTAATGCCAAAGTTAATTTTCCTTTTCCACTGCCTTATAACAACCGCATCCATCTCCCAAATCCCTGGGCAAGAGAGACTGCCGGGGCAAATCCTTGCCTCTCTGAGAACACTCCCCACCCCCGCCTTGCACAGTAAAACAATGTCTCTCTGGCCCCTGAAATAATTCAGCCTGATCTCAGGAAAGGTAACATCCTTCTCTCCATACCCCGAGTTGGGCTCCATCTTTTTTACTTCCCACTTGGGGCCGTTTGGAAGCGCTGGGGAACGTAAAGTTTGCTGAAAAGTGGACCCTACGCGTCGGAGGAGACTCGAGAAGCACCAGAACAGCAGCATTTACATCTATTTAGGGTCAGGATTTCCATAAACAGGTTCTTAAAAAGCCGAACGCTGCAACTTCGGGAAGGGATAGAGAAGCAGCATCACAGATCAGCTGAGTTCCGGATCTGAAGGTTATTTTTAACGCTTTACTGGTTCAGCTTCTGAAAATCCAAATCCAAATGAAGAAACTAGAGAGTATCATAAATGAGGCGGAAACAGAGAGAAAAAAAACCGGAGACTCCACTTTCGGAGAGTTTCTGACAAGAGTCGTGGCCGCCCCGAGAAGTCTGGTGGCCGGAAGGGTTTGGCCAAGGACTCCAGGACTCCGCGTTCCAGGGCAGGCGTAGTCCGGCGTCGCGTGGGCTCGCGGCGGGCAGAGGAGACGTTTGCAAGAGTCCAGCTCCGCGGAAACCACATTTCCAACAACTGTCCATCCGGAAGCCTGCACAGCCAATGCAAATGCGCCCCGCCACGGCTTCTTCCCCGAAAAGCTCCCTTCCAGAATCTTTTCTGCGGCAAGCATTTAGCGCGAACGGGATAGTTAAAAAAAAGGGGGGGGGGGGACCTGAAGAAGTCCGCATAGCTGGAGAAGGGCAACGCAAGTGGGGCAAATATTTCGGAAAACTCCTGTCACCCTCCACACTCGGACGAGCTCAGAGACGCGCTCTGCAGAGCTTCCGAGGAGGAAGCTGGGCCGCGCGGAGCTGTTCCCGCCCTCCCAGCGGAGGCATGGGCTCGAACAGAAATGGCCTCGGCAGCAGCAGCAGCAGCAGCCGCCGCCACTCAGTCCTCCGGCAACGCTCGCTCCACGTGGAAGGAGCGCTCCACGTGGAAGGAGCGCTCCACGTGGCGCCTGTCGCTACCTGCCGCGTCCGCTGACCCCGCCGAGCCGAGGAGACCCGGAGACTGAGCGGCCGGCGCACGCGAGAAGCAAAACTCGAATTTCGCAAGGAGTGAAAAATACTCACGAAAGACGCGCAGCGGACTCGGCCTCTGGGCAGAGAAGTGGGACTGAGAGCGCTCAGGGCTCTTCGAGGGAGACCGCCGCTGAGGCTCCAACTTGAAGGGAGTTTTTAAAAATTCAACACTTGGATTCGATATTGCAGAAGATTTATTTATTTCTTTTTTTACACTGCAACTCTGTCCCTAATGGGAAGGGATCGTGGTTGCCTAACTGCTGAACAGTAACAACTCAAGGAGAGTGAGTCCAGTTAGATTCCAAGCCCTAGAGTTGAGAGGGAGTCGGTGATCATAAACCTCCAGGTTTGCTAATCCGCCGGTGCTAGGTTCAGACCTCCGAAACATCCCCGGAGTATTTCTAGGACCCTTTCCGTTCTCCTTATATATGCTGTGACCGGAGCGAGGATTTTTTTTTTTTTTTCTTTAAAGAAAAACTAAACTATGCAGTTACCGCAGGAGATTTAAGGAGGAGGGACTGGGGGCCATTTGATCTATAAAAAGCGTCTTACAAAGTCCTGAAGTCTGGAGACAACAGCGGAGGATATAAAATAAAATTTTAAAAATCCGATCCAACTTGCCCACCGTTCAAGCCTCCTGCTTAAATTCGTTTTCCGTCTGGAAGTGGGAGAGAACAGACGAAGCGATCTTTCCGTGGAAAATTCCACTTTCGTGCGATCCCGGCTTAAACACTCACAGACACGCACTCTCTCTCACACACACACACACACACCCATTCCTCTCGGGTCTTTGTTGCTCAAGATCATCTCTTCGCTTTTGCAACTTCCCTGAACTTCTTGCTTCTTTATCAGAAGGAGACAGGGAGGCTAATTGTGGATATATGTAAGCACAACATTTTTTCAGTCATAACTGATAAGTTTCTGAAATGCCTTCTGCATTGCAAACATGTGCATCTTAATAGAAAACATTGCTTTTCTCAATCACCAGTTACAGCCTCACAGCAAATATTCCAGGAGGAGGAAAACCTCCTTTCTTCTCTGAGAGATCCGCTTGGCTTATTTTCTTCTTCTTCCCCCTTTGGAATGGGGGGTTGGAAGGGGTGGGGGTTGTTACTTAAAAAAAAAAAATGATCCATCGAAGCCCCTGCCTTACCTTAAGAAATCGAGCCAGCCATCATGAATGATGGACGGATCCAGCTGCAGAGAGAGGAAGTTCTCATTGACTGTCCTGACTGGGTTCTTGGTGCTCACATCAAGTAGAATCAGAGTCTTTTCCTTCAAACCTGAAGCTCTGTCTACAGGCAAGGGTCTCCTGTCTCCAGCTTGGGAGGAAAGGGAGAGATGGAGCAACAGAGCCAAGAAGAGAGCCACCGGGGCTAGGCACGCGGGGGGGCGGGAGTTGCTGGAGGGCATGGCTTCAGGGAAGGCACAGAGCACCCTCATTAAATCCCTCTGATTTAAACCTCTTCCTACAGGGTCTCGCTGGTGACTAATTGTCCTTATCTAAAGTGTGTGTCTGTCTGCCTTTTTCCCCCCTTTTTTTCCCTTCCTTTTTCCCCCCTTCTCTCACTCTTTTTTTTTTTTTTTTTTTTCTTCTTCTTCAGTGTTTTGGTGCTGGTGGAGCGAACTCACGCCCCTAGCCAGCCTTCTCAGCGACTCGTGCCAAGAGTACTCGTTCACCAGGACCGCCCCTTTAAGAGATTTCGACTGCAGACATTTTTTAACTTTTTAAAGGTAAGGGGGTGTGGGGAGAGGCGGGATGTAGGAGGAAGGGGTGGTGTTGTACCCTCCTGATTTAACCCTCTAGGGTCAGAAAGCGGAGGAAGGGATCGAAACAGTACTGTTGTAACGTTTGGGGTACGGCGTTGGGGTCTTGTTTTACTTTCCACGCTGCGAGGCTCCGGGATGGGCGGTTCTAGCTCCGACCCTCACACTACAGCCCCACGCCCGCCGCGGGCGCGCTGGGGTAAAGAGTCCGCACCGGCCGCGCGCCTGTTTGTCCTGACAGCGTCAGGCATATCGTCCGCTCCGGGCCTTCCTTTTGGGTTGAAGCAGCAAAAGCAAGGGTGATTAAGTTGCAGAAGGGTCCTGCGGCGGCGACTGTGATTCTTGCCACAGCATAGAGCGCAGAGCGAGACTCCATGCACACAAGTCTGGACCTCTGCGATGCGCTGGGCAACCACACAGACGCATCCTCTGACTTCGACAGGGCAAAAGGTAGCCAGAAGGAATACATGGAGTGACCAGGTCAAAGGGCTTATCTTCCCGTGAGGGCAAAAGATCCCAGACTAGGCGTGGCTCCGTTCTGCTTTGCATCCGAGGTGAAAGTGTCTTGGGGGCTCCAATATTTGCTGACTTAGGCCAAACCAAAGCAACCTTGTCTGTATTTGGAGAGTCTGGGCGGCGCTGCACGCCTTTGAGCCACTGCTTGACCACTCTAGGGAACAAGCAGAGCCGCTCCTCCAGCCCCTCCTCGAGGTCGACCCTGGGCTTGCCCCTCCTGCGGGGACGGACGCCCTTATGGTGCCGGAGAGGTACAGACAGACACAGCTACGTTTTCAAACTCGGCCTGGGGTCACAGCCAGAGTTCGCCCGCACATAGCTCCTGGATGCGCGAGAACAGCCGGGAGCCGCGCGGTGCACCACCCGCCCCAGCTCATGGAGCCCTGAACCACAGCATCTCTCAGATCGAGCCCGGGTCCCAAACTAAAGCGCTGGGAAAAGGCCAGGTAGAGTGTGCTGCAGTCACACCGTTGGGCCCCACTTTCAGCTGCTTTGTGGAACAAAACGGGTCTTCCACTTGGCAGATGAGAACTACTTTATGCAGTGAGGGTACACATGAGCGTCCCAGGGCCTCCTGATATCAAACAGGCAAAACTCGAAAATGCAGAGCAAAGGTTTTCCCGAAGGGTGGAGGTGCAAAGGGCAGTCTCAGAGCTGCCGGACAAACATTGAAATGGCAACCTGTCTCCCCTAACCTCCTCCCCCAAGATAGGATGAAGGAATCTGGGAAGGACTGGAGTAGACGACCTTCAACTGAGGTTCCCTGAGGAGCTTTTACCAAACTAAGCGATCAAGAAATCCAGAGGTTAAGTTGGGTTAGACTGGGAAGTGCCATGAAGACCTTCTAGAAGTAGGACTGCATAAAATGAGGCCAAAGGAGAAAGAAAATCCAAGGCATATCATTTAAAGATGATTTTAAAAACCAAGATGTTACATACTGGAGTCTTAGATGTGGGCTCCAGCCCTAAGATCTGCTTCCTTCAGTTCCTGAAAATTTCTAACACTCCTAGATCCTTTAGAACATAGACGTGTTTCTGTGTGTGGGTGTGTGGTATGGTAGAAGTTCTAGTAAAAATTGTAATTTTAAAATGTGCACTGAGCACCTCCTAGAGATGGTGATAGTCTGGTGAGCAAAGATTTTTATTTATCTTTATATCTCTAGACCCAAGCACTTAGTAGGCACAATAAATGTCTGTGAAATAAATTAATGTTAAATCAAATCATGCTCAATGCACTAAAATCATATATTGCTCTCAAGAAGAATGTGAAAAAATACCTTTATTTGTCACAGTAAACTTGGTTTTAGGTTTCTGTTCAGTAATTTGTTTTTCCAGTTATTAGTATTTTCCTGATCATCTCCTTCAGGAAATACTTTCTTGCAAATTCAGAAGCCATTAGTTTATTTCTATATCCAGAATTAAAACCAATTATATGTTTTTAACAAGGAGCCAGATGTTCCAAGGGCCTAAACACCCCCTGGCTTAAAAGTGAATGTACTTTTAGAAGCCACATTAATCAGGACCAGTGGAAGACCACTTAAATATAGAAATCGTCTATCCACTAGATGTCCAAAATTAATGTACCTTTCAAAAGTATCTACTCTTGTAACTAAAGATGAACCTAAGTATAATGTGAATCTGCTTAATTATAAATTTTATCTATTTGCTTACTGACCCAACTATTCTGTAATTGTTTGGTGGCCTAGTTACTTTAACCAATATTTAATGCTTTTATAAAGACCTGTATGTGGTATAAAAATCAAAACCAACAAAACAAAGTGCATTTTTCTTATGCCCTGATGAAAACCATCTCTCTAGCCATTGAAATTCTATAGTCATGGCCAGCCTCAGGACATGGGGCAAAGAAGGCAATTTAATAACATTTAAGGAGTTCCAGATAGCCCTGGTTGACTCCCCGATGACCTGATTGTCTGGTCCTTTGGCCTAGTTTGGGTATAGATCTTCACAGGGCTACTCTTTCCAAATGGCACACCCCCCTCTCCCATATCATGGTTTTTGTCTTGCCTCTCATCTAATGGTAAATTATAGGCTGTAAGTAGCTCATTATTAATCTGTATTTTAGACTGATGTTTCTCTCCTGTCTTCTGAGTGCTGGGTAACAACCATCTGCATCTCTGTTCCATCTTAGATTGTAATTTCCTAAGGGACAAGAACTGGGCCTCTGTATAAAATATGAATTATTGGGAACTAGATGCATTGAAGACTCCTTGGAAATGCTCTGCCTGGTGTTACTGAATGGTCCTTATAGATAAATTCCTTTGTTATCTAGGAGTCTAGGTTCCCAGACCTGTAAGAAATCTTGAAGATTATCTGCTTCAGTGATTTCTAGACTTTGGGATTTCAAAATAAATATTACGTAGTGGGGAAGAGCTGACATATATTTGCCAACCTTTTATTTTGTCTAGTAAGGACCTTAAAAAAATCTATCAACTACTTATCACTATTACTTCCCAAAAGAAAAGAACATTTTAACAGCCAAAAAAAGCTGAAAAGATATGTCAAAATAAAGAGCAAATGTTTAAACTGAATAAATTTAGCTTCATGAAAAATCACTATATTATTTTTATCATTTCATCTCAGACCAGTGGAAATATGCCAGTGACCAAAATGGGTATTAGGACTGGTGACTGGGACTACTGATGTATCCTGTGTTTATGGCCAAATTTTACTTTGTAGCATACAGTGTTGCTGCAACATGTGCATGCTTTTTAATATAGTCATCCTGACTACAGTAATTTCTTTCCACTCTTCCTATGCTTTTTTCTCATCTTTAGCCTGTCACAAACTCATTGACTTTATATGCCACCTCCCTCTCCTTCTATTAAGCATTCAAAGCCATAGTTATTTCTATGCCCATTTTCCCCTTCTAAGAAAACTATACAAAGATATCTAATAGTGAGAAAAAAATTCTTTCCAACATAACTGGGACTGGGAAGCATGAAACTATAGCAGCCAGTCCACTGTCTCATCGCTACCTATATACTTGCCCATGATGACTTCTATCTATCAAGATCTTATGGTCCAGGATGGTACTCAGGGCTATCTCTGTTCTCTTATTAATCTTTTCAAATAACTCTGAGAGGTAGATATAATTCATTATTATATCTAATCTACCTATGAGAAAACTGAGACTCAGAGATGTTAAGCAACTTTCTCATGGTACACAGCTAATAAGTGGCAGCACAGGATTGAAACCCAGGGCCACCTGATTCTAAAGCTATATCTGTGTTCTTAACCACAAGACTCTACTGTAAGTGGCTAAATTACTGCATACCCTCTAACAACTTGTCAATATAAAGTGGAAAAAACATTGGACTGGGAGTTGGAAGACCTGAGTTTAAGATCTGATTTTGCCAGATCCTAGCTTTGAAAACTTGGGTAAATTTTTTAACTGTTCTAAGCCTCAGCAGCCTACTCTGTAAAATTAATATAATATCCTAGAATAGAGTAAGAATCTAATAAAGTTATGTATAGAGAAATTGCTGTATAAATTATAAAATATTATACAACTGTGCTGTTTGTTTCTTGTTTATTCTTATTCCCTCTCTCCCACATTTGCCACATATACATCCCCTTAATTGATGACTTGGGCAAGAATTAAGTTATACATAAATAACTTAGTGATAAACGTGAAAAAAAGGTCAACTCTATCTAATATGATGTCAATAAATGCAAAAATAAAACAAGTACATACCACATATTTTTACCACGCAGGCTCTTCTGCCTGTGATTAGCATCTGAAAAAGGAAGAAAAGTTAAGTAGGTTTTACATGCCTCCTTCAATTTTCCACTAGGAGAGGGGAGTCAGGAGTGGGCAGAGGACAATGCTGGGGAATAACGAGGTATGTTGTTTTATCATCAAAGACTGTGTCTCTGTCCTGCTTGGAGAAGCAAGAGATGGCAACACTTTCTCCATATGGAAAGTTAAAGAGGAAAGGAATTTATAACTCTATGATTGTTCAATCTCATTATATAAGAAAACTCTAGCTGGATGGTTTTTGTTCTCATTGTTGCCATCAAGCAACAGATTTATGTGGGGAAGATCATAATCATAATAAATGTAGTTGACTCTAATGAGTTCATTTTGAAATCCCTTAGCATGTTTGGGAGTAGGGATGACAGTTATTTGAGGAACTGCTAAAGGTAGAAAACCAAGTAATGAAAAAGAGATTAAAATTATTCACGTCTTATTAGTCACACCCACTGAAGAGTGATTTTATCAGCCTGGCC